TACGATATATTATCTAAATTGAATACGATTGGACGATGATGATAATAATAAAAGAAAAAAAAAATTGAAATATTGTCATTTTTAAAAAAGAGTCAAGGTCAAAAAGATAGTTTTTTATCATAAAAAAAAAAAAAAAGAAACAAAGTGAACTTATGAATCACACGCGTGGCATCTCATCGTCTTGCAAATCTCCTGGGTTTTGCAGTTTTTAATCTCAACGTTCGCGCGTGGTTGCATCACTACGTTGACTAGTTGTTTTAGAATGACTAATACTCAACGACGTTACGCAATACTGTCACGAGAGAGATGGATACGAATCGATACTTTCGTTAATCACAGCATTGGACGATCGTAAGTGGGGATATATATCGCATGTTTACTCCCATGAAAATAACTCGGAACAAGTTTGTCTCGTCGATAAGCAAAAATGTTTTTAACCGAGAACTTAAAAATATTTTGCAAATCAATGAACTTATATCCAAGTTTATCCTATCATTACATATAGAATACGACAATGCATAACGATAATATGGTCTGTCAAATTAAACAAGATGTAAATCGCAAACAAATTTCAACAGATTTGCTGAGCGAAGATCGTCATGCTTCGCGGTCCAATTAACGTCAGTTCTATTATCAACGATAAGTACACGTGTGTGCAGCAACACTGTTATCACAAAGTAAACAGTGGCTAGGGGATATATGTACGAAATAATCGCAAGATTACAACTCAAGCTGTATTCAACTCGACTCTGCTAGGCGGGAGAGCATTTTTATCTGACCTTGTCGTGACTTTTAACGCTCGAAGAAAATCACGTCTTTTCTTCCTTCCCTTTCTATTTCAGTCGTCGTAGTTTGCCTTCGCACAAGGACAGGAAGAACTTCGAAGAACTTCGATCGGTTAGAGCACACGTGCGATATGAATCGTAAAGTCGATCCAGTCACATACTACAAAACTCTATATAGTGAATCGAACAATGGCAAATGAATGAATTTAATTATTATGACGCATGAGCAAATCAAATTTATATATATATATATATAATATATATATATAATATTAACAAAAGTAAAACAGCATAAAAAGTTAAAATAAATCATAAGTCAAAATACTCTCTGCATAGCTGATTATAATACTTGAGAGGAAAAACAGTCTGCATTTACCGAACAACATTGTTGACTATCTTACACGCGTGTATCCTTGCACGAGTACTCGCGCGAAATCGATGCGCTGTCCGCTCGTGACACGCCCAAAGCATCGAGGAGAATGAGAGTCAGAGATCGGTGGGTAGCGCACGCGTGGCTCTCTCGCGTCTCTCTCTCTCTCTCTCTCTCTCTCTCTCTCTCTCTCTCTCTCTCTCTCTCTCTCTCTCTCTCGCGCGCGCGTTCTCTCTCTCTCTCTCTTTCGCACGCTCGGTCACTCTATGCGTGTAGGTGCTATTGGGATTGTCATTGAGACCTGAAACGGAAGGGCATCTGAGTCACGAGCTTTATCGACTAACTGCGCAAAAATGCCTCGAGCGAAAACATCGCTAATACACCGGCCACTCGACCAACCAATCAACCGACCGACCGACCATCGAACAAATGCTGGGAACGTATATTTTGATCACATTAGCTTCCTCTCTCTTTATTCCCGTTTGAACATCAACTACCTTTGGAATATCACACTTTGTCGCCACACCCACATCTTTCTTCGTTTCTTTGCATCTCTCTCTCTCTCTCTTCCTCCCTTCACTCACTCCCTCCCTCCCTCTTCCTCATCTCTATTAGACACCAAGAGACACTTATAAAAAGAACGACGCGTATGCAGGGGGTAAACAAGACATTTGTTATCTATAAATACGCAAGGAGCTTATATATGTACAGGTGCCAGCCGTCACTGTAGCATTTGTTTGAGCGATCTTTATAAGAGAAATGAGAGAAGAAAACGGGAGAGAGAATGACACTTTGATCTTGGTAATCCGATCATCTTTTTACCCGGTACACTTGCACTCGCGATCGCGATATACTTTGGAAAGAATATATTATTCTCATCTTTCAACGAAGAATTTCATTGATTGGTCTGACCTTTTCTTATAGATATTTTTACACAATAAGACACGAGACAGTTAATGTGATAATTAATCGAGATCAGGAAATTGGAGAGGCTTGTTACGAACCGAAATTACAGAGAACGATTATAGTGTAACTTAACAGTACTGCGAACGAGATTAGAAGGCTAGACAGGGTATAGTATACGGTAGACAGGACGGCAGACTGCAAAGCAAAGGGTTAAGTAAGTGATGCACCCCATTCAACTCACTGTTTCTTTCTCTTTTTCTTTTTCTCCGTCTATTGCTCTATCTATCTCTATTTCACATTACGGCGATAACGATTATCTACATTAGAAGACCGTCCAAGGCAGTTACGACGAAAAGACGTGTAGGAGATCTCGTATACACAATGCTACTGGCAAAGTCGATTATGGTGAATCGTTGAAGCAATTCACGGAATCACGACTTGCTAACTAATGTGTCCGATGATATAACGAATTACGAGAGAGTATCCGCAACATCAACAAGTAGTAATAGCTCGAACGAACTCTTCCATTATCTTATTAAATCCACTAAAGAAAGAGAAATAGAAAAAGAAAGAGAGAGAGAGAGAGAGAGAGAGAGAGAGAGAGAAAATATCGATATTTTCTCGACTCGGGAAACTTTCTCACGTCAGTTTTATATACGATGCACACCAAGTGTAAAATGCGACGTAGACGGACATGTAATCGGACGATCTCGTTCAACGGGAGATGAAAAATTCCCGTAAATAATATCTACGTGTCTCTGATAGCTAAGAATACGCTGTCAACATATACGTTCCACGAAATGACACGGGTGAGATTTTATTTTCAATATGAAAAAAGTAAATTAAATTGTGTACAAGCGAGTGCTGTTCTTAGATATCCTTTCTCCTTTCTCCTTCGTTCGGTTTTCCTTCCGTTCTCAGATTTCGTAAGTAATCACATAGTGCGGTTCTGTAATTATTTTCGAAATCGAATGGATAACAATCGTTTCTTGAGTTTATTGGTCATCAATAATCGATAAGACCGGGAGTAGTATCTTGAAGGATTAAAAGTTTTTTGATATTGATCCATTGTTTCGTGACTGTTCTTTTAACAAGCACTTACCTTTTTCAAATGTAGTACATTCCATTTACTTTCGTCTTCAATTTCTAGTCGAATTTATTTTACGATTCTATATAAACGTACATTAAAAGGACAGCGAACGTATTAAAGAGAAAGGAGGATTGACCCTCGAAAGATGGTTCCGTCTTTGACGTCTCACCATGTCCTTGAACGACGCGGATGGGATTCCTCGATTCGCTTCACGAATTACTAGAGACGTGAAGATCCTTCCAAGGAAGCTATGAAGGAACGTTAGCAGCTGCCACATGCGATTGCATGCGATAAAGTGAAGAAAATGAGATGGATAAGGAGAAGGGGAAGTGAGAGAGAGAGAGAGAGAGAGAGAGAGAGAGAGAGAGAGAGAGAGAATTATTTGACTTTGAAATGTCGAGCTATCTGACTATGCAGAAACATACGAATATCTTCGTGGATCAGTTCTAATAAACTTAAAAATGATAATGAATGAAGGATCTGATGTGTTTTCGGTCACAAATTGTTAAAACATTAATTGTTACAATGACGTTTGAAATATGAATATAAATTAAAATTAACTGACAGAAAGGAAAAAGATTAAGGGTTGTAAAAAAAAAAAAGGAAAGAAAAAAAGATTTGCTTTTCTACATTTCGAAATGACGCAGAATAAGAGTCGTTTCTACCGAGAAGAATCTGGGGACCGGTTCTTACGGCAGGTTTTTACCTCTACTATTAATAAACGTTATAAGTACATACAACAGACAATGAACGAGGAAAGAGGATAAAAATTTGGTGTATGTCACGCTATTCGTTCATTCGTTTGCTCATCTCTACGTGTATCGCATTGCAAGGCAAAAATTTATTCGCATTATGGTCTTAGTTCTCACGTGCATTTATGCGCCAATTTTAATTATATGCTAATAAAGATCATTCCTACTGCAAGAAACGACAACTCGATTCGTTAATTAAACCAGAAATGGCATTAAAAAAAAACATGAGTCCCCTTTCTCCCATCACATCTTTATCTTGATGCTAAACTCGATTACGATTTTTCATCTATTTCATGAAATAAATCTGCTATAATAAATATAGGTGTATCTACGAGAAAAAAGAAAAAGGACCAACATTTTCCCGTAGGATATAAACACTCGGAAAGGAAAGTACTGTATTCTATGAAAGTAGATAAATAATCACGCTATATTATCTCAATATTTCAGACACGATCATGAGGCTCCGGAGTAATACTTCGTTCATGATTAATTAACCCTTTGAATCGTTCCAACACGAATCGGGTCACGTTGAAACGTTAGCAAACAGGAGCAATCTCACTTCTTTCCTTTGGCAAGAAAAAAAAAAAAAAAAAAAAAAAAAAAATTTCTAAAATAAAATTTACTCATCTCCTTATTTTCTAATATCAAACTTTCTATTCTCTTCCTGTTTATTTTAGCGCAATATGTATTTCACCCTTGATCTCGATCAAAATTCGATTGAAAAAAGTTTCGATTGAAAGAAATTTATCTGAAAGTTTTCCTGCAACTAATATTAAGGAGGTGACTGTTCACCGTGACACGTGTATGTGTTTTACCTTGACGCGTATCTTTCTTTCATTATCGCGACTTTCCCCTACTTCTTTTCGTATAAATCTAACAATCGTGCGACAAGGCAATACGTGTATCATATTAAAAGATTTCGAGTTTATACATTAATCTTTCACCAAACATAGATTTCAAACGATAAATCTCTTTCTATACGAGTATTTCCAAAGAAAATACAAATTCCTTATAGCAAAAGCTTTTAATTGCTACGTCCGCAATGATGAAATTATACTGACCGAGTAAACAACAAACGTATGTTCGAAAGATAAAATTCTTATCACTTAATTCTCTCATTCCATTTCTTATAACAAAAAAAGAAAAACAATAAAAAAAGGAATCTTATTCGTCAAAATATCGTTTACGGTATCGTATATAGCGATTGTAAAACGATAGAGAACATTTATAAAGAAAAAATCTGAGAATAATAAACAAAATTATTGCTGAAGAATGACTCGTTATTGTTCTTTAATTACAAATGTTACACAAAATAGAAAGCAGAAGAGCAAAGGAACATACTCAAGCTCGATGTAATAACAATCGTCCTCTCTGTGTTTGAAGCAGAGAGAGAGAGAGAGAGAGAGAGAGAGAGAGAGAGAGAGAGAGAGAAAGAGAAAGAGAGAGAGAGAGAGAGACCGCGTAAATAAGGATTCACGTTTCCTCGGTCTTTAAGTCGGCGATTTAGACGATGACTACATATCAGCAGCATATACCGAGCTACGTTTCTCCTCGTTTTGCGCGTACTGCAAATTAGATGGCTGCTTTATATATGAGATAAAAATGTGAATGATATAAGAGAAAGATGACAATTATAATGTCTGTTTTTCTAACGTCTAATTATACAAGGAAGAAATAGAAATTTATTAAGTATCTCTCTAACACTTCCTACAAGAAGCTCGTGTACACATACGTATGAAAAAACTCATACGCATGAATTCTGATACTTTTACATGAACACCAGCGTAATAAAGATAACGTTTATCCTTGAAATCAAAATTGACCGCGAATATTTAGCAGAATTTTTGAAACGTCCATTTGATATAATAACTCTGCGCGGACAGCTGTCTTCTCTCATTTCACCGAGAACGACGTAACGAGAATTACGTTGCATGATTAGAATCGAGAAAGAGACGCGATTAACGATCAACTATAAATATTTTCTTGTCACGATCCGATCAATAACGGAAGGACTGTCTGCACAAATGGCATGAGTACCTTTTTGGAAATGTCTTTTGCAAAAGGCGAGACGTAATTTTCTTTAATTACGGTCATTCGATGGGTGCTTTGAAAACGTGACCTCTTTGTACGAACACCCCGCGCGTTCTCTCTCTCTCTCTCTCTCCTCTCTCTCTCTCTTTCTCTTTCTCTCTCTCTCTCTCTCTCTCTCTCTCTCTCTATCTATCTCTCTAAAATAGGTACTGCACGTCGCATGGCTTTAAATGTAACTAGACTTGCCCGAGGGGTGGATATTTTTAACGAAAATCATCCTGTAGCCGAGGACCCGTGAAAACGGTCCATCGACAAACACAGTCTGAACGCCACTATCGGGCTACGCTAATTAACCTCGAGAAGGGCTGCCCGACTGTTCTCCTACCGTTTCGTACTCATTGTACCTTTCCAAATTACTATCCCCATTTCCCCATCCTTCTACTCGCTCTTTCTCGCTTTCTATAGTGATACATACGTCTCTCCAAAATTACAAGATACCATCGTAGAGAGGCGGTAGAGAGAGGGGGAGGGGGAGAGAGGCGATAGAGAGAGGGGGAGGGGGAGAGAGGCGATAGAGAGAGGGGGAGGGGGAGAGAGGCGATAGAGAGAGGGGGAGGGGGAGAGAGGCGATAGAGAGAGGGGGAGGGGGAGAGAGGCGATAGAGAGAGGGGAGGGGGAGGGGAGGTTAGAGGGGGGAGGGAAAAAGAGACAAAGAGAAATGTAACACTTATATTCCGTTCGTTAAAAAAATATATAATACATTAAATGATAAAATCCGATTTATCTTATATTTATTCGATCTCACCTAAGTGATCTCGATTCATATAGAATTGTCCTCGAATCGGACAAAAGTAAATCCAATTAAAAAGTACTCGACATCCTCGAATTATCGATTTCTCTCGTTAACTAACATTGTTCCCTTTGTATTATTTTTTTAACGATCTTTTCAAATAGCATTTGAATTCATGACAAAGCCAAATAACCAAGCAAGCATTCAGCCCAGTCAAGAATCCCCTTTTCTTAGTCTTATATCATGGAAAAGCGTGGTTTGCTTACTAAAAAAGGCGCAAAAGCGATCGTCGAAGGATGAAACCAGACAAAGGAGAAAAAGAAGAGAGAAGGGGCGGAAGGGAGAGGAGACAGAAGAGAGAGGGGGCAGAACGGGGCGGAGGGGGAGAGGAATGACTACGAGTGGCTTTCGATTCATGAATGTTAACGACATGCGAGAAGAGAAGGCGTGTCGTCGTCGTTTCCTCTACCCAACTTATACGATCTATGCATTTGCATAAATTTGGCAAACAGTCTATTACGCATTCGTCGACGGATACGCGGGTATGTAATTTCGTCTCTCTTTCTCCCTTGCAGAAAATACAAGATAAAAGATACGCGAGTTTGGGTCAACGTGTGAAGGACATTTCTACCGATTGAACAATATAAGCCACGATTATAATGACGTAGACTACGAAATTCATTTTCGGAAATCTTGTTCCACGACGAATGCTATAATACTTTTTTATAAATTACTTTTTTATACTATTTCTCATAATCATTAAGCAAATCAAAATGATGTAAATATATAAAATATGGTCGATCGATACATCAACGATATTATTTAACACTTTGAAATGTTCTTAAGATCACTCGTGACTGCTACTCAATGTTGCAGGATTTTCAAATTTCTTTTCCAATAAAGTTTCGAAGATATTACAAATATTTTTTTCTGATGGAAGGAAAATACAATGTAAAAAAATATAACAATACTCTTGTATCCTCGATCTGCAAAAAAAATATTATGAAAGTTATTGAATGAATATAATTGATTTGTGTGAAAAATTAGTTCGGCACTCAAAATTAAAAAAAAAAATCTCATCTCGGTATCATGTAATTATCAAGCTCTTTCTGCGTTTAGAAATAACTTGATTTCGTTAATCTCAAGCGTTCCAGTCAATCGCAAATTTTTAAAACGGAGAGAGAAAGGGAGAGAGAGAGAGACTAAAATCACTAAAACGTGGGTCGGCATAGCGCGTAATTTTCGCGATACCATAGTTGGCCCGTCTAATCTCGTTAACCGACCGGCCGGTTAGTTAAACATGCGGTAATAATGAAAGTCACCTTGTTATTATTAACCTAGCGCCGAGGGAAGGATAAAAAGTATCAGACGAGTTCGTGTAGCAGCTGAAGAAAAAAAAAAGAAGAAAGAAACTCACAGAGGCACGAGTTATAACGAAGTTTAATCCCTTTATAAACTTTTCTCCTTCTTACGCGACTACACTCCGCAAGTTCATTTCAGGATAGAAGAAAAAAAAATAATCAGGAAAAAAAGAAGCAACATAAGACAACAGTCAAGCTCGTCACGCTTAGATTACTTCCACACAATCCATTTAAAAAGGAAAAAAAAACGACAGATTTATTATACATCTTAAGCCAGTATCCTATGCATAAAATCTTATCATATAAAACAAATTATTAGAATCTCGTGTTATCTGTAAAGTATATGTTATAAATTGTAAACAAATATATGTATGAATATATAAGCAATAAAATGATAAGAAAATAGAGTGAATGAAAGAGAACAAAATGTCTTTTAACGTCTCTCTTGATCTTTCACGATGCTCTTTTTTCTTTTTTTAATAATAGGAACACTCACGATCTTTTCTTTCGCTTCGCCGTGGCGCGAATGGAATGTCTTATTTGGGATGAAAGAAAAAGAAAAAAGAGAAGGTGGGGACAGCCTCTTGGTCCGATAATAACGCGAAAATTCAACTGGATTTGTCATGGAGAGGGTGAATATCCACCCTTCGAAGAGAATTTAATTAAGGGCAAATTCGACCTTTACAAAAAGAAACACACAACTGATAGGCAGAGAAGAGAGATGGTACACATCTCGCCCCGTCTTCTTTAAGGCATCCTTGGGAGATCTATCTCATTCTCTCTCTCGCTCTCGCGGACTTGAAGGTCGAGGTTCTAGATTCGAGGTTCAGGGTCAATCCCCAAACTCGCCGGTCCTCTCTAAGCTCTCTCACTATCTTTATCGTTGCTTTACTTTTCACTCCAATTTATTTACCGATACACTTTATCGAGTCTTACAAACATCGCGTTAAAAAAAAAAAAACAATAATATGCCACTACTGCATTCTGAATTACATAAAAATTAATAAAATATTACAATATAAAATCTAATAAAATTTACAGATTTCATCAAAATTGTCAATAGTTTAACTATTTCCGTTATTAACTATTCCGTTATATCATCCTTAAATTATCATATTATATAAATCATATGATTATTTGCATCTTTGAAAGTTTAGTATATAAAAAGTTAGAAAAAAAATTTTTTTTAAATTTTGAATAAAGTCCTGCAACATTGAGTGGCCTTCATGGCATTTCAAGGTATTTCATCAACTTTGAAAGTTGATCCACGAACTTGTTTGTAAGATTGAGCAATATAAAAAAACGACCTTGACATTTTGCAACACACATTTTTGAGTTTGTAGTGAAAATATAGACGAGAATAAATGGGGTAATATTCTAAATATCATCGAAGACTTCTCGCCACGCGTTAATTACTATGTTTGAAGAAAGAATTATCGATTGATCCCATCGAATACAATTGAATAACACGTAACGATCATTTACCTACTTCGAGAGCCACTAAAAACGATCGATAATGGAGAAACGATGAAAGTGATAATCACTATACCTGAAGCTGTAAATTTTTACTCAAATAGCAAATGCGAATATGGTGTAATTCATCCGTATGGATAAGATCTCTATAATTAAGGGTCTTATAAAATTCCGTTATAATCATGATTAAAAGCGTGAAAAAAGGATAATGGTTGTATATAAATAAAAGGTTGACGTTTAATGATGTAATACTTTCGTAGTGAAAGTGAGAAACGACTTTAACATCTTTTATAACAAATAAAATTTTCTCAAACGAAATTCTATTTCTTAATCTTAACGGATTAACAAGTTCGAAGGAAATTCAACGTGAAAACAAAGATCTCATTAATCATAGCAATTATTATTTTTATGATAAACCACGTACTTACATACAATGAGAAAAATTTATGAATTCTCGATGAGTCAAAAACGTGATAACATATTTACAAGATTCACTAAAACTATAACGAAAAATGACGTCATATTAACGCATTTGTATACACACATATACATATACATATACATAAAACATTAATGTTCTTCGAAGAATTTATAAATAAATCATCACAATTAGCAATTGATTATATACGTTGTCATTTTTCAATTATCAAAAATCCCTCAAACATTGATAATATGAATTTCTTAGAAGTACTTTTTATCTCGTCCACAGTTTTCTAATTTATTTAATATTAACGCAACTAGTGCAAATAATTTTTTATCGTTGCCAGCTCTACCGAATAGAAAAAAATCATGAAATGGTTGTTAAATTTCGAGATTACTTTTCGAAAGAATCCATTTATAACATTTATGAACTTTACAAAAGAAAGAGATCCAAAAAAAAACAAAATCCAACTGAAAAAAAAACATGTTTATCCTTCCCTTCGAGAATTGTTCAACATTTTCTTTTCTTTCTTTGTATCTTTTTTCCTTTTTATAGAAAAATCGATTGATTGATGACGACGGTTTAAAATTTAAGATTGTTGTAAACTCATTATCAACTATCCTAATCGACAGTAAACAAAATTTTTTTATGACTGATTGGCGATTTGAAGAACTTATAAATAAATATGTAAAAGATAAACTGAAAACTTTCAAGTGATTTTCCCTAAAAATAGCGTCAAGGAGAAGCTTAAAAAGAAAAGTTCCTTTAGTAGCAGCGAGTAGCCAGCAACCCTCTGCTCTTGCCTGCCTTTGTAGTTACGTACAACGATATTTAGAATTGGTAATCGACATCCTCGTTGTTATCCTCTCGATCCTTAAGCGGAACAAGGCGTGTTCGTCGTCTTCGTCATTGTGTCGTCGAGATGGTGGCCCCTTCTGGGTCGACAACCACCCGAAAGATTTAGGATAATGCGCAGTTCGGAGGAAGCTCCTCCTTTTAATTGAAGCCCATAAAGGAGGAAAATGTGTCGCGAGACGGGCTGTATAGGGAACCAAAGAGTAAGGGAAGGAGAGAAGGAGAGAGAGAGAGAGAGAGAGAGAGAGAGAGAGAGAGAGAGAGGGAGAGAGGGAGAAAGAGACAAAGGACACTTTCCTGGAAATTTTACGAGCTTCCTCCTAGCGACACGTCGTTAGATTGAAAATAAAAAGAAACTCGCATTTCCTGAAAGAGGATTATACAATAGTAGCAACATCTTTAAGACTTTTATCGTTGAATTGAAAAACAAGTTCAGATCGAGGAATGTTTCAGATCAGAGAATTTTTTTTTAATCGATATATCAATGTATGGTAAAAAAAAAAAATTGTAAAAGGGATCTAGTGGGTCCTTTGAAAAGAAGAAGAAAGATGGTAGTAGCGTGTAAAAATTTTTGAATGTACTCCCTCGTCGTTTTGCCTCTTTAAATGCATCGCGATGCCGTGATTCAATGCAGTCGGCCTTGAAAAGCTGCTAAAGCATCGGACTCCTTTACTTGATGGCCCTGAGGAGGTGGCCACGGTCAAGGCCATAAACATTTCCCCCTCTCTTTCCTGTACCTTTTCTCTCTCTTCCTCTCTCTCTTACCACTTCCTCCTCACCACCACTCTTCATAGTCATCTTCATCTTTTTCTTCTTCCTTTCCTTTCCTTTTCTTTTCTTTTCTTTTTTTTTTTATACTTTCACGCAACATACACACTCGTAAGCCAAGATGAAGGAGAAATTGAGAAGAGACTCTCGATGAATCCCTATGGTATGATGGGGCTTTGAAAACTCTACGAACGTTGCTTTCGAGTGCAAAAGCATTCGGCCGTGTCTCGGTAAGACTCGCCTGATTGAGCTCGAAACGAAAACGGCTCCGGTTCCTTTATGCGAACGCGCACTTTTTTAATCGCAACACGAGACCGAACTTACAAATAGAAATCGTACCACGGTAGTAGTAGATATGCTATATATTATTTTTATATTCGCGCAATACACACACACATATATATATATAAGTGAACATATATACATAAGTGAAATTGTTCCTTCGTCTATCGACGAATATGATTATATTGTCTGTTAGGTGTGTCGATCTTTGCGACAAAAAAAAAAAAAAACGCGATCTAACATCTCAACAATTCTTTCGTATATAATACTCTATTAAAAATAATACATAGAATAATGAAAACGTCGGATAGCATAAGCTTATAATGCTTTTTCACGATCTTCTTCGTTCCTCCTTGTCGAAAAGATTCGATGGAACGTATGACAAAAATAGGATAGGTTTCCAAGCCTGAAGATCGTGAACTAAATATAGGATGCGCCGAATATGCCTCAAACGCACACCGTGGGTGGGACCGACATCGTAATCTTCTTCAGTCTTCGCTACCCTTCGTCGTCTTTTCTCCCTTCGAGTAAAGAAACTTTCGAGAAACGACATATGATTGTATACAACAACCCTATATATATATATATATATATATATATATATATGATTGTTGATAGGATATATATATATATCTTCTAACATCCCTTCCTTCCTTCCTCTCTCTGACTTTGTTTTCGCAAAACGAACTCACTCGCAGTTTCATTCAACCTCTTTGGAAAGCTCGTCTGGAAAGTTCCTGAATAGGGGAAGAACTTCCGCTTTCTGCTTCTACTCAAGTGCCCTTTTCTTTGTTCCTCGAAACGAACTAAAAGAAAAGAATCTTTCTATCTCTCTTTCTAATTTTCTTAACTTCGAATGAAACCGATCAGATCGATTCGACCGAAAGATCGCGTTCTAATGTTCCTTTTATAGGTTAAGTTGACCAATAGTCTTAAATCAAAGAGACACTATCTCTATCTTTCGTTGAAATCTTATCCTAGAACAGGAGAATGTGATATCAAAATTTCAAATAACAGAATGATTCTTAGGGATATTAGGTTACGTTTATAAGAGGTAATCGCTCCTCTTAACCGTTCGTCCGTAAGCCTTTCTGAGAAGATCCAAAATGATACAGCAGCCTGCTTTTTTTACAAAGGATATTGCATATAAAGTACGCAGAATATATAAGAATCTCTCGAATATTACGTATATATAGGACCTTAAAAAAGTTTCTCGATCGAAAAAAAATACTACTATTGGCCTAAAGTGCCATTATTACTTAAGAGACTACCGGGGGGGGGGGGGGGGGGGGAGGAACAAAAATATTTTAACGTGTCCAAATATCAATCAGTAACGATGAATTAGTTATTGTTAGCATAAAAAGCTTACGAATGTAAGAGTATCGTATCTTTGTCGGTGATCTTTTGTTCAATCACAAAAGAAAGATATATATATATATATATATATATATATATATATATATATATATATAGGAAATATATTCAAAATGTCTCTACTATCTGTACTAACCTGGCCCGATCTGCAAAAAAGTCAACCTTGCTTTTCTTCTTGACGATGGCCTGGGGTTGATGAAGAGGACTGACGCTGGGTTCGCTGGTGGCCGGCGGTGAGCTCGACCCGGTGCTCGATGATAGGGATCCGGCCCTGCCACGTCCAGACTCGATAAGTTGTGCTTCGGTGGTGCCACGTCCGTTCGCGGAAACTACGTGACTCGAGTGGTTCGGTGGACCGGCCGACACGGCTAAAGTCGGCCGAGTGTTCTGCCGATTGCGTCGTTTCTTTTTCTTCGCTTCGTTCTCATCGTGACGATTGCCGGCAGCGTTACCTAAGCCCGGTGGCATCCAATCGAGGTCTTTCTTAAGATGGCCGCGACCGCAACGGCATCCACAAGCTTTAAATGCAAGATCGTAGCCTTTTTTCGTCCAGAGATTTTGATGACGTTGTCTCTCAGACCAGCTTCTTGCACGTCCGCAGCTTTTAAGATAGGTCAGGATCGTTTGCTCCCACGCATCGAAGCATTCGCGATGCATAAACTGACCGACCGGGCAGTTCTCGTTGTTGCAAATAACCTTGACCGTATCATGCAAGGCGTTCATTCGAATAAGAGAGTCACTGCGCAGACATTCGCCTGTCGGTGTGCAGCAACGAGTCGTACCTTGGTTATTGTTGATGCCGTTGTTGATGTTATTGTTCTGGCCAACCACGAGATTGTTGTCCATTTGAACGGCGTCGTTACTTCCGGTCGCACCTACACCGTTGTTGTCTCCGAGGCCACCACCAGTAGCGTGACCGTTGCCGTGGCGCCGAGGGGCCATGGCTCTCAAACAAGCGACCTCAAAAGCCGTTGCAGCCGTTTTTCTTGATTTTCGTCTCTCTTTCTCTTCCTCTCTCTCTCTCTCTCTCTCTCTCTCTCTCTCTCTCACACCTACCTCTGTCCTCCTCTTCGTCAATGATTTTACCCTGTTTCTTCCTCTTCTTATCTTCCAGCAGCAAACGCTGCAACTGATGCCGAACTGCTACTAGCGTTTGAGTAACTAACGTACAGATCACTTGGTCATTTTCCCGCCTGTTTCGCGATTCCACGTTCGAGAAGCAAGATGAAAGTCACGTGGTCTCTCTCTCTCTGTCTCTTTCCTGATCGGCGAATGAGCGCGCGCGTCTCGCTCTAGAATGTTATTCGGAGGTTAGAATTCGACGACAGGGAAGATTCATCCATCTATCTACAGGCGTAAAAATTGACTCGACGAATTCGGTAAAACGAGATCACAAAGATCGGCGAAAAATCAAAGTCAAGGTCAGCTCGATCGAGGCGACACCGTTGAAGGGTGGACACTTGGAGTACTTCGTTCTTTAGATTCTTTTCTCGAAACGCACAAACTTCACGTTAAGATCGAAAACGCGTCTCTTTTGTTTTTCTCGATGACTCAGTCGAATGTAACGAGAAACAACGTAGGCGAGTTTCTCTCGATGATCGCGTACCGTGGAACGTACGACCGGAACTGGCAGGCGGATGGTTCGATGCTGATGCTGATGTTGATGCTGATGCTAATGCTGATACTAATGGTGCTGTTTCTGTCTTCTTTCTTGTTCTTGTTTTCTTCTCCCACCTGCTGTAGAACACGAAGAAGGACGTGCGCGCCGTGTGTGCCCGGTGTGTCCGATTGTCAGGGTCACCGGTGAGGGGCGCGCGCGACGTTCGACTAAACGCAATTTTCAAAGGATGAATAAGACCTCTTTCGCTCCTACTCCCCCTCTCACTCCTTCTCTCTCTCTCTTAAATTTTCGTGCCTTCAATGAATATTAGCATCCAAATCGCGAATAGAAAATCACCAACGTAAGAACGTTTTTTTTCTGTCACGTTCTTTCTTTTATTTGTCTTTTTCTCTCTCTTTTCTCTCGTGCGTGGCTCTGAGAAATATGACGAGAGGAAAAAACGCACGCTCTCGCACATTCGCTCACACTTAGGGTGCACCAGAATCACTGAGAGTACCGGCGACGACAGCGTGCCGGCTGCCGTGGCTCGGAGCGCGGGCGAGCGCGAAAGTGAGGCCTCATTGGGTGAAAGCGAAAGCGGCATGGTGGGGGTCACGGCTAGCGCGCCAATCGATGCCCGCCGTTCTCGTCCCCCGGACGGCTCGTCGCCCGTTCCCCTTTCTCTCTCTTACTCACGCTTACCGATCGAATCGTCTCGTTTCGTCTCGCGAGTGAGCCGTGCAGCTTCCCCTTCCTCTCTACTACCGAGAATACGTGTATATGCGCTTGTACATCGTATCTACCAAGAGTCCAACGCGTTTTACTTTTCACGACGGCCCTACGAATAATCCACGACGAGCGTGTGTGTGCTACGCACTCGGCGCGTGACACGCGATTCTGAGCCTCCTATCTCTTTTTCTTTCTCTCTCTCTCTCTCTCTCTTTCTCCCTCTCTTTCTTTCTCTCTCTCTCTCTCTTTCTCCCTCTCTTTCTCTCTCTCTCTCTCTCTTTCTCCCTCTCTTTCTCTCTCTCTCTCTCTCTCTTTCTCTCTTTTTCTCCCTCTCTCTCTCTCTCTCTCTCTCTTCCTCTCTCTCTATTTCTCATACTCATGGAGTTACACGGAAATTGTATAAAGGTAATCCTGTCTTTTCTCTCGTTGTATTACGTTTTCGATAGTTCCTCTTTTTTGTCTCGCCAACGATCATTTTCTTTTTTTTTTTATTTTCTTAGTAACTCTACCGGTATTACTACTGACACGAACGTGTTACATAAAAATCGGTATTCCATCGAAAGTTAAGAGTATAGTAGGTACCGTGCATACGTGCCTTCGATATTTGCTTTAAACAAACGAAACTTTTTTGTTTATATAGTATGTATTACTCAAGGGACAAGAATGTTCAAAAAGTGACACGATGTTTGTCTCTGTAACTATGTTGAAATGTAACATTGTGACCTAGACACTACAGCACTGCATCAAATAAAACTTTGTTGCACTTCAATGATCTAGTTTGGAAACTTTTGCTGGATAGACATTAATTTTCTATCGAGATTCGATGTATCGTACTTCATTGGCCGCAAAATCTTGGTAATATAGCAAAAAGTAAAATGAAAAAAATGTCCCTGTAATTCTTTGTTCCGCTTGAAATAGTCGAAGTTGAGACTCGTTATGAAAAATTGAAAGAGAACGTCGTATATGTGTGTGTATGTATGAATATCGAAGTTCTGTTGTTACTACGTTGGAACATTGAATTCGTAGAATATACACAAGAGAATAAACAATGTAAGATCACGAGATAAAGAGAGTGACAGAGAAGGAAGAATAATAAAACTAATTTTTTCATTCGTTTTTTCTAATTTCACTATCAATTAGTCAACACGCCATTATTCCATGAATTCTTACGTACGTCCTGAATATCACGACATTCCGTTTACGATTGTTCCGAACAATGAGAAGACTGGTTTACTTACGTAAATTTCGCGATACTTCTTATTTTGGCTTATTCATACGATTATTTATAATTATAATTCTTCGAAAACTAGTTATCGCCTTACACGGTTTTGATAGAGATTAAGAACGAAGCATATTAGATGTTGTGCCACTTGTTTATACTCTCTTGATATCTTGACGTAGTTTATACGATATAAATAATGATATAATTGTAAATGATTTTCATCGATCTCACGTGATCGATTCTCTCGAATCGGAAGTTTTCTTCTATCGAATACTTCGTTTATTCCTTAATATCTTTTTCACATCTCGATCATCCTTCTTTCGTTAATCTTAAGATATTATATTATAGTAATTCTAATAAGTAAAATCGTTTCGTTTAAAACTTGAACCGGATCTGACCAATTTTGAATTTATTAAGATAAATAAATCAATGAAGGAATAGATCGATAATTTATTAAACTGTACGATCTTAGACTCGTAAGTCGCTCTTGAATCATATGAAACATCAGATACGCCTTCCTGTTTTTTTCTTTATATTGATACACGAATTGCATATCTAATATTTTAATAAGCGCGTGAATCATGTTTTTAAAAAATAGCTTATATGTGTGGTATACTTAAATGGATAGTCGTATTCACCACGATAATCGTATTTACCAAGTACTAAATCGCGAAAATATATCTATTATAAAGCATTTTACCGAAAGGAGACGTTATTGAAGTTTTTTTTTTCTCAAAGCAAAGAAAGAAATTCACGGATGAAACTACGATACAAGTAAGTACTTATATGCATATCCAGCTTATCCGTTATGTCGAACGATATGATAGTGGCTTACAATCTACGCAATGGAAGAGGAGACTGATTGAAAGTATAATATCGCTTTATAATTTTCAGAATCATTTTATGACGTAAGGTAATATAATATTGAAATTTTCGTTTGATAGTAAGTGTGTTGAACAAAAATAGATAATAGACGAAAATAGATAAAAGAAATGTTTTCGGTCGAATCGGAGATTGTCATGGTTATCTCGTTTTCTTATCAACAGGAAAGTTCCCATGAAACGTATTCCGTGTTTGTTATATTTACGAAAAGAATTTGTAAGCATTCGTATAACCACCCGATCGAGTTCTCAAAATAGTTAATCGCTGTTTTACGTTCTTTAATCGATCGGTCCCGTTCCTTCCGAGAAATTCACTTCTAGTTCTCAGGCGTGGCGGAAATATTGAACCGAACAACGATGTTGGATATAATCGAATCGATTGCTTTCTTTCTTTTTTTCTTCCTTTCATTCTTTCTTAACGACGACATTCCTTCGTGTATTGACGGCGCCGCGTCATGCTGTGAGTAATGCAAACTTAATTAGTGATTGTTACGAACCTTGAATTCTTCCCAAAATCATTTAAAGTAGATATTATGATACATTTTTATCATACGTATACGTATCTTTCCAATAGATTATTTTGTTACATCTTTTAGATTTAATACCTTTTAAGTACGTAATATTTTATAAAATTTTCTTATAAATTTTTAATACAGTTTTAATTACGATAACGTAAAATGAACTCGAAACGATCATCTTTAATTTCGAAGATTGCAATTTGTTTCGGAGACGTCTAGCAACGTAAACGGTATTATGATCAGACTTAAAACAACAAACATCTGAGATGAAAAACTTTGTGCTATGCGTCAGTTTCGATACGCCTTTCGATACGCCGTTACCGCCGACAGAGAAACGACACGAAATACGTATTAGATTACATTGCATAACTTTATCGGTGGAACATAAAGCTGTTACGAAACATGAGACCGCCCAATTCTTTCTTTCTTTCTTTTTCTCTCCCTCTTTCTTTGTGTGACTTTCTTTCTTTCTCGAAATGGCATAAAACTGAGAAAGCCGTACTTACGTTTTTCAATAAAAATAGCACCTGGAACCATTTTAAACTTTGATTCAAGATAACAAACATTTTTTTCGAAATATTTAATACATTTTATTTGAAACAACTATTTTCTTTATACATTGATGATCTATCATTAATTCGAAATATTATAGTTTTAATGCATGTGATAAATACTAATAACAAGTATTTGTTTTTGCAAGTTTCTTAGCAATATTTAAAGTACGTGATATAGACAATTATGTAAATAGTTATTATTTAGATACTACTCTCTTTCACGTTATCGTCGATTCTATTAAGGAACCCAGGCCTATGTAAGGCATACATATAGGAAAAGGGTCTCCAAAGTTTTACGATCTAATCGATAAATTTCAAGGAACTTGGGAGCGATAGGAAAAAGCGCGTGTGAATTTTCGAAACATACTACGTGACGTATCGGCCGCAAATCGTCCACTGCCATCATCCACACCCTCTTTTCCTTTTTCTTTTTTCCTTTTTCTATCATGAAAGTACACTATGCGTGCACACATGAAACTTGTCGTTGATGAATAACAAAATCGAAAATAGAGATTTATAGGACGATCGAGTAGATACATACATACACGTAGTCGGCGACGAATTCGATTCGTTTGTCACAAAGGATATTGCTGTTTATCGAAACGTGTAAATATTGTACGAAAGGGATAGTGGAAGACAGAAGAGAGGGGATGAATATTATGGCGTAAAACAGGGGAGAAAAATTTTAGGGCTTCTATACAGATTTTCTCTTTTTCTCTTTTTTTTTTCTAATAGTTACCGAAGGCTCCGAAGAAATTGCATAACGGAAGAAGGGAACGCAAAATCAGGGCATCCGAAAAGAGAGAGAGGGAGAGAGAGAGAAAGAGAAAGGATAATCCATCGTCCTCGAGAGGGCTCCCTATGAAAAAGTTGTTTTGATCGGCTCGGGTTTCTAGGACGGTGACCGTGAATGAGGCTTTAGCCGGTATATAATGGCCACGGTTAGAAAAGAAAAGGATAGAAGGAGAATAGAGAAGAAGAAGAAAAGAGAGGAAGGTAGGGACGCTTTAGGTACAGAAGAACCAGATGTCGCTGAAAAGAAACACGGTTCATCCCGTTTCGCGCTTAAGGAGCACCGCTGCTCAATTAAAAAATCCGCATTCTGTAGGGAGCTTGAGGAAAGGTTGGGTGATTGAGAGAAGGTAATGTAATACAATAATAAAAAAAGAAACAGTATACTTACATGTGATCGTAGAAAATTGAATTCCTCGTTTTTTTTTTTTTTTTTTTTTTTTTAGATAGCATATACGCACGATAATATAATCTTTGAAACGATTATCATCTGTTCGTTTTATCGAAAGCGAGGAGGGTTATAAATTCATTCCTGGATGAAAATCAATTCTAAAGTGAATCACTATTGGGTATGAGCACGATAGTCCTACCGTAAGATCTTGCGCGCATCAAATTCTCGAAGGGAATAACGTAAATAGATGCGTGCGAGGAACAAAGAAACGAGCTCTTATCGTTCGTTGAAATTTTTATTTTGCACGCTAAATGCGAGGGTATAAAAGTATCGTGGATGAGAGAGCGAGCTAGCTAATGATGTTCGCTACCTGAAATATATTGAAATTTTGCATAAAATATACTTTTATATACCAGTTCAATTCAAGATCGAGAAATATAGATAGGCCGAGACAATGTGTGAGTTACTGCAAGAGAGACAAAGAGAGTCGATAGAAGGAGAACAGTGGCGCTACCGTGGCAGCACAACGTATATAATGATACGACGAGGTAGGCTGGGAGTAAGGGTTGGGGGAGTTTTGAAGGTTGGGGACACAGGATTGACCGTGGGACGCAGAAAGCGGGGGTATAGGTCTAGGTTCAGGGCCGTCATTGCCTGGATGGGCGTGCACTTTCGGTTTCAGGCTGCGCATGCTCGTTGCACTCTCTCTTCCTACTACCTCTTTCTCTCTCGCTCCCAAGTCTGGGAGTTAGATGCGTTCACGAAGATTCTACCCACGTAAAATCCAC